CAGACAAATCGCTCAAAACTTCGCTTAGAACCTTGAAAAGTCGCGTTCTATAGGTTTAATGATGTCTTCTTCCATTTTGACAAGTCAAAAATTTTTTTTAGTGCAAATGGTTTTACAGTTGAACAACCAAGTTCTTTAGAAAACGGGTCTTTAAATCGAAAGCGGGCAAAAATCATTGTAATATTCGGAATCAGCACACTCGATTACCTATCGTCAACTGAGTTTCAGCTCAAAAGCGAGGGGACAGTTGGTGGCCTTCCCTCGTTAGTGTGATTTTCAGAATATTCTCACTTATAATTAGATATAGTATTGATTATTTTCAATAAATTCAATCATGAAATGACACATAAAATACCCGAAAACTAGCATTTTTTAAAGAGCATCATTTACTCTTTCAAATGACATATTCCTGCTCTCTAAGCAATACGCTACATAAATATCAAAACGTCTTTAGTTGTAAGAAATAATTCAAGGTATAATTTCCAGTCATTTTTCTACTATTTTTTGTAATATATTTTGAAAACATTGTAGCATTTCTGCAGAATATTGCTTAGAGAGCAGGAATATGTCATTTGAAAGAGTAAATGATGCTCTTTAAAAAATGCTAGTTTTCGGGTATTTTATGTGTCATTTCATGATTGAATTTATTGAAAATAATCAATACTATATCTAATTATAAGTGAGAATATTCTGAAAATCACACTAAGACCTAACCAAACTCGTTGCTTTCCAGATAATAATTATACAGTTTTGTTCAGTTTTTTATGCTCTTTCGAATAGTATATTTGGAATTTAAAAGCGGCCCGAAAAATAATTAGTTAATTGCTAATTAGTATAATTACTATTATCAGTATAATTATTAATTAGTTAATCTCAATATAAATAGAAGTACTTTATATCAAAATTTAGCCCATCAAATTCTGCATCGAATGGTATATAGAAAATCGTTTAGATGTTGTAAAATAACGTAAAAACAAACTAAATACTAAAAATATGCTAAATGCTTTTCCCACTTTTTACTACAGTGTTTAGTATTTTGGCTATAATATTGTCACTACTCAATGAAAATCAAAGAGTCTTTTTACCAAAATGATCAGTGAAAAAAGCTCTACAAAACCGGATATAAGAGAAACTTTTTAGAATATCCTTATTATTCATTTATGTGTAAAAACAAAAAAGACCAGGCTTTTTTGGGCCCTCACTGTATGTATCTTGAGGGTGTGGGTGTAATCTTTACCCCGTACCCACATCCACCCCACACCCTTCAAAAAATTTCTTGACTAATAAAATATTTGGAAGAACTCAAAACAGAATACGAATTATTTACATTTATTTAATGAAAAAAGAAAAATCTAAATGTATGAAATTCTTTAATGTACATATATTTTCTCATACTATTGAGGAATATAGATAATACTATTTTGATTAAGTGTCATTCTCGAGATATTGAATGATAAATAGTGTTGAGTCGTTACTAAATTTAAAAAAAAAGTTATGCATGTTTTAATCAGTATATTGTGAAAGAAAGAAAGGGGCTGTTTTTCTACGAATTTGTTCTTGTTTTTGATAATTTTTACGTTCGTAATCTCTCCTGTCATTCGTAACATAGTCTCCTCTATCGATTTGATATATCAAGTTAGAAATCGTGATTTTGTTAGAAATAATGCATGTTCTGTTCTAAATACAAAGACAATAAAGAAAAAAAAAATAATCGAAGCAAAACTAAATTCATTTTATTTACGATAGATGTGGATACACAAAAGGGAAGGAAAATGTTTCTTGTTGCTAACTACTTTCAATAATCCGTGATATGAAATACAGTCTTTTCTGTAGGAATAATTGAAAATAAATATTAAGCAGCAGAAATTAAGTCAGCAAATTCGGCAGTAGTAATAACATATGCTTGCTTTGACAAGACTTTCTTTATGAGAACATCGTGAACTTCAGGATCAGGATCGGCAGTTGCATCGGCGAGAACATACAATTGATAGTCGCGATCAGCAGCATCGCGAACGGTAGATAGAACTACGCCACTGGTGGAGATACCGGCAAGAATCAGATTTGTGATACCTCGTTCACGTAATTGTTTGTCGAGGTCAGTGGTGGAGAACGCTCCGAAACGAGTTTTGCGAACGACGATGTCTCCAGCTTGCGGTGCTACATTTTTGTGAAAGGCGGAATCCGGACTGTCATTCTGCATACGGCGACTACCCGCAACTGCACTAAAAGCTTTGTTAGTATTTGGAATGGCAGCATAGTCTGAATCTTCAAAAGCTACACGAACATGGCCGACCTGTATACCTTGCTTTCGAGCGATGGAGATTGCATTAACTGCTTGAGTGAGGAGTCCCTCTGAGTTTGGGAGCATGCCAATTATGCCAGCCTGAAAGTCCATTACGAGTAGTGCAGACTTCTTATTGTCAATGTTAGGTGTTGTCATGTTTGATTGATCACACAGATGACGTCGAAACGAAGATCTAGAATAAGCAGTGATAATAGTAGTAATATATGTTCAGAGTTTCAATTAGCCAAAGTTTTTAAAATTTGTTTTCACTTATAAAAAGTAGAGATTACTATTTTTGCTACAAGATCTTCAAGTTCTAAGGTCTCCGACCTGGATTTATTTCAATGGCGTGAAAGAAAATTTTTAAAATTTAGCTTTTAATTGATGTAATTCAGTAGGAATTAAAAAACTTGAAATAAAAATAGCATTGATACTTAATTATTAGAGAAATGATTGCTCTACAACACGTTTATTGATTACGGTAGTATCTTATCAGACGCTACTGCCCTCTAACAATTTTATTACAGTAATGTGATTTGAAATCAACAATCAAATTATATATTCTTGTAAAGAATACTTGGAACTATCTAACAATAAACAGTCAACAGAATTAAATGGGCTGTTATAAAAGAGTTGAAATCGCTTAAAAACTTGGGAAAGATATATTACAAACACTATAAAGAAGTGATGGTAATGTGTTCACCCTTGTACTTTTAAACAGTAAACAAGAAAGAAGAAAAAAAAGAAAATGACGGCCATGTAGCTACCTTAACGCTTCGAGAAAAAAAACACAATGACGGTAATGTAACCATTTTAACGCCTATAAGAGAAAGAAGAAAAAAAAGAGAATAACGATAATGTGACTATCTTAACGCTCCAAAAAAAAAAAAGAAAAAAAAAACATAATGACGACATTCAAGGAGGAACAAGCGGACGTCTGTACTTTTGTAGCACAAAAGTACAGAGAAGTACGAAGAAGCACAGAAGTTCGCTTGTCCCCTCCCCCTTGGTGGTAGTGCAGTTATTCTAATATTTCTAAAGACAGTATAATGATGACAGAAGTGTTGATCTTTATCCTTTATTCTATCATATATTTAAAGAAAGTGAATCAGAATTGGCTGACCGACTTACAATACGATAGCATAGCTATTTATAGATGCATGTGAAGAGAAACAAAAAGATAAATAATGAACGAATCAGAATCCGTCACAGTTATCTTATGATTATTTCTTTCTTTCTGATATGAGAGATAGAAAAATTATTGTAGGGATACGATTTTGAATATACAGATGCACTATGGGTACGCGTACTGATATGTACTAATTAATAATTTTCTGTAGCTTCTTAGATAAATGACTTCGTATTAAATCGTTCGTGATGGATTTTTTTAATAAAACGACAAGTTTATTGTGTAAAATATAAGAACAGTTGTTAATTTAGTTATGACTGAATGATGTCAATGTTATATTTATTTCACATATTTATTGATATTTTCTTTTTAGAAATATGATAATTTGTTAAAAACAAAGATTTATTCTTTGATTTGATTTCTAACTATTTTATTTTTGTTTTGTCGTGTATGTGTGTATAAAATATATTGATTGCACATGTTTGGAATATGTACTTGATTATTGATATATGATACTCATAGTAAATGTTAAAAATGAAAGGTTATAAAGTATAGTACTTATTTTTTTGAAAAAATATTTACATAGGTACGCAATATAATTCGAACGAAGAACTATATTATTCCAAAAGATAACTTGTCGAAATTAAACACGTACTTTAATCTTTATTCTTTCACCTTTTCATTTCTCATCAAAAAAAGTAAATGTTAAAAATTACGACGTGTATACTCTTCGTTCTCTAGGCCATACATTTCACATTATTCATTGATGCAAAAGGTTGTTATTCTGTCCTTTATCTTTTCACACATTGTATATACATCAATACGAAAAAATCAGATGTATAAATAACGAATACAATTCATATTTCAAAGCAATTCGAATCATTTTCTACATCAAATGTTATCGAGTATAACTTTAGCTGTTCTACTGTTTTTAGTGAATACTGCTCATAGTTTGGTCGTATGTCCAACTTTGAAAAGTGCTGCTAATTTTACTGTAGTTGCTGCTAGTTCAGTAAGTAATACAGGACTCACCATCATTAATGGTAGTGTAGCTATGAGTCCAAGCGTTGCATTAACTGGCTTTAATCCGTCGGGTACAATCAATGGTGGTCTTGAACTAGGTACTGGTGTTGCTTTACAAGCGCAACAAGATGCCACCACGGCGTACAATAATCTCAGAGACATTACAAACTCTACACAAATGACTGGTGTTGATCTGTCAGGTAGGTCACTTCCACCGGGCGTCTACAAATTCGATTCGACTGCTGGAATCAGTACACCGGCAGGCACCTTGATACTAAACGGAACTGGTATCTATATATTTCAGATTGGTAGTGCTCTTACAACGTCTGCTAATAGCGAAATTCGATTAATCAATGGTGCAAGGGCTGGTTGTGTATTCTGGCAAATAGGTAGCAGTGCCACGCTTGGTCAATACAGTGTCTTTGTCGGCAATATTCTCGCTTATGCATCCGTTGGATTATCGACCAACGTAACTTATTACGGTCGTATCTATGCCCAAACAGCAGCCGTTACATTGAACAGCGATACTATCATCGGCCAACCGAGTTGTGATGTGTGTCAAACTATTTCTAACTCAGTTCAAGGTACACTCAACCGTAATGTACCTGAAAACAGTACATTATATATTTTTATCATGTTTGTCCTTCTTTTAATTAAATAATAAACAAGTTATCATATTTAGACTTATCCATTTAGTTTCGGAGACTGTATATATACTGGGCACTTTTTTTATTTGAATATGTATCATATACATTCGAGAATATATGTCTGAAGAAATCTATTTATAAGTGATTAGATATTCAGCAAAAGCTTGTGCATCATGGTATGTTACAAAAATATGATTTCCATCTGTTGTTGAATCGAATCCAACAGGTCGAGTTTTCATTGAACTATTTCCTGCTGTCGTTTTTCCAATTAGAACACGTACAATAAACATAAATCGTTCTCCCTTTGAATTTGGATGAGCATATCCATGACTGTACGCTGCATTTGATGAAAAGTAGACACCCACACCATAAGCCGTTCCTGAAAAAAAAATAACATGAATTCAATAAACAATATTCTAATACAGTTTAAAACTCACCATTTTTTCCTGCAAAACTTCTGTTGAAACATTCGGCGGCAATTGCATACGCCGCATTTTCAGGGCAGCCATGATACAAAACTTTTTCGGTGTCGTTACCATGTGTTTTTCGAAAATCTTCTCTATGAACTAAATACTGTTTGTACCATCGTGGATTTTGAATTCGCTCGATTTTAATTATTTCCTTGTCGCTACCTTGCATTGATCGACGAAAATCAGCAGCAATAGTCTTGCATTCATTAGACGTCTTCGGTACTATAAAGCATATTTTGTTTCCAGTTGGTGATTCCCATGTAGAGGGTAGGGTATCGTCGGTTGTGTTTCTATCGACTACGATAGAAAATGTACGATTAATACAGAAATTTGAATATTCTTACCCTCGGATGCTAAGACTTGTTTACAAAATTCATCATAGACATTCACTTGTCGAGGCTCAATTACGAATCTAACTTTTAAAGTTAAATTTCGTTTTTGAATCTCTTTCTTAATTTCGCTAACCATTGTTTTAACAACAATATTCACTGTACATGCACTTTTTCCACATCCAATAGCAGGAAAAGCAATCGATGTGTAATGATGCGGAAGAATATTTTGAATAACATTCCACATAAAATCAACAATTGATTGTCGAAGAATTGATTCATCAACATTCGGTTTCCATCGTAAGAAAAAAATTTGTTTACAAGATAATCGACCTGCTGAAGTGACAGTTAGTAATGCATTCGGATTACTCGCTATTTGTGCGTTAAACGATTGACGAACATCATCACCAGCTGTATTCAATATTGTTTCTTTTAGAATTTCTGCTGATGAATTGATTACAATCACATCGACCTATCAAAAACAACAGAAAAATAAATATGTATCTTTTACTTGACAATGACCTATCAACAATACATTTTGTGTAATGATATCACCCATAGTAACTTCAATAGTGGCATTTCTAATGGATGTGGAGATTGTTCTTGTGTTTGGAATCTTTTTCAATGGTTGATCTGAATTAATTTGTTTTTGAAATTCATCATAGATATCTTGTTTTTCTGGTTGTATTATGAATGAAACAGAAATTGGATATTGCTTGATTCGACAACGAACTTCACTAACCATTATTTCGGCAACTGATTGAACTGAACAACCCATTTTACCGCAACCAATAGCTGGAAATGCAATACTTTGATAATTTGCAGCTGTAGCAGCTTTGATAACAGTAGCAAGAAAATTTTTCAGTGCATCACGAAGCAGATTCTCATCTTCGCTACACTTACATGGAAGAAAATAGATTTGTTTTGAAGGAAATTTTCTGTTAGTTGCAACGGTAATAAGAGAGTTTGTAGTGTTATTTTTTAACTGAGTGTTATAAGAAGTCTGTATAGCATCACCACCTAATTTAAGAATATTCTCACGTAGAAAATTTGATGTCGAACATACAATGATTACATCAGTCTAAAGAATATAATCATAATTGCATTTACAAAGTTAACCTTACTTTTGTACTAGCCAAATCACCTTGTTGAACGTCAATGGATGGCTTCACCGGACGTCGATCGATCGAGGGCGATTGTTTAGATACGGAAGAACGTAAAATCAAGTCGTCTTGGGCTGTAGGTGATCGAGCAGTGACTTCTGTTCTCTGCTCTTCTTCTGCACATGTTCCCCCACATGTTGACCCTGAAGTCCCCATGTGTGTATTGGATGTAGTCTTATTTTAATATTAATTTATTATAATGTGACACTAAAAAGAAATATTTGACTACATCTGCTTCATGTTAAAACAATTTAACTATTAAAATATTCGGTGATATATAGATAAGAAAAGAGAAAATTTAAAAAAACCATGTGCTACTTTTATCAACAGACATCAAAATAGCATAGTCATTTTATTCACATGTTATCTCCTAAACAAAAAACACTATAGACAAAATTTTTTGATGTACTTCCTAGGATGAATGTAGACGTGGATTTCGATGTATTATATTTCCTTCAGAAAATCTTCGTTATAATATATGGCAAAATCAAAATAGAATACAACTGTCATGTAAATTTCAACAGAAGGAAAAAGTCTTTATAACCAAAATGATTCATATCATGTTGTAGGTTGTTTCTTCCGAAATTAAATAATTTTCGTATATTTTATTTTAAGTAGTTGGCAAATGAGTGTGAGTGGATGTAAATGAAGGATGAATGAAATACCCATGGCCTCACGACAGCCTATATAGAATTTAGGTAGTCATATTAATTCTTCAGATATGATGTTTTGTCTTTTACTTCTTTGCTGCTGTTAAAACAAATTTCTATTTTATTAAATATGTTTTTCACTCTGTCCAAAAATAATAACTAAATGTCTTATTTGCTTCTAATAAATGTGCCCGATGAATGAATTCTTATAGAAAAACGATCAAGTAAATATGAATCTGTTCCGGAGATGCTTTCTTTTACTTTCGTTAATTAAAACAAAATCACACAATTGATAATATTTTAAACTTTGATTGTAGAAATATCACGATTTTTAGATGTGGTGAAAGAACAAAAGAAAAGAGTGTTTGATGAGAACGAAATTATGGATATGGAAGAGTTTTTTTTCTGAAACAGACATTTACAAAAGAAATATTTCAATACACTTGAATGAATAAATCAATCAAAAATAAAAGGAATCTATTTTTGACTTCAAGCACTCAGACAAGTCTGGAGAGAGACACCTTTAGGCTCTTTCAATTAAAAAAAATGTGGAAAGTAATGGAAAAAAAAAGTGAAGAGAAATCACTTATTGTGGTGCATACTTCATTTTTTCATTGATCACACAAAAAGTAATGCGATCTATCAATGTCTTGCTTTTCATTATATCTTTTCGCCTGTAAAAGGTTTGTTAGATGATCTTTCTTCATTTGGTTCTATCATAACATAAATGAATTCTATAGGATAAATTACAGAACCACCTAATTATTCATGTAGTGAAAATAATGTTTCCTCTACTGGAAGGAGGGTATACGCAGAATGAGTTAGTTTCGTTCATCCGTTTCTTCACTCTGATTGATTGATTAAAACTTCTAATTCTTTCCTGTTATAAGAGTTGACCGAAGGGTAATCGGAGTCGAGAAACACGAATCAGATTTTAGTCTTTGGGAATTTTTTCTCTGCTGTTTTTTGAGACAAAGAACTATTTTTTTATTAGGGCTGACTAAAGGGTAATCAGAGCCGAAGAAGACGACTGAGAGATTAGTTCGATCTACTCGAAGTGGGGTATACACAGAATTAATTAACTACGTTTATGCTAAACGAATATGCTCTATTCGTAGCGACTCATAAAACAGTAATTCCTCGTTTTACTTTCTTTTTAAGAATCGTAATACCAGAAACTCATCGCGTTTTGGAGTGAGTACGAAAGGAAACCCATTTATTCTCCCCGAAAATGCAGAATATAGTAGAGGTGTCCATAAAAACGGCTAGTCTTGAGTAACCAACTGGAGAGAGGCCGACGAATGGCTAGACGTCTATTTGAAAAGTTAATTCAATGTATAGACTTGAAAAATCTCAAGTATCTTGAACGACTTTTCGCAGGAACTCAGGTAGGATCCCTTCAAGAACAAATCCAACAGGTTATTATTTTCCTAAAAATAAACGAAAGATTGAAAGCTGTGCTGAAAGCCACACACTATTATGTAAATTCTAGAAGTCTTTGAGTACGAATCCATTTAATACGAGCGACTTAGTTTCATGTGTGAAAATGTTCATCTGATTGATAAGAAAATAGAAAAATAGACAATGCATGTCAACAACTAGAAGTTTGTTTAAGAGGCTTGCAGTAAGTAAAATGAGTCACCATAAAAGATTTTTTGAGACGTGGGTGTGGGTGAGTAAAGTGTGTGTTGGCGTAGCTGCGAGTACAGAAAAAATACCCATACTCACACCTTTATTTTTATTTAAGTCATATGCAAAATAATTTCTATGTACTTGACGAGAAGTAAGGAGTATATATTACTTAAAAGTTAGATTTGATCGTGTCGAATAAGAATGAATCAAAATTTGTTTTTAATATTGTTTTTTATTTTGATTTGAAAATAGATAAATTAATATAACATTAAATCTCATAGATATTAAAAGAAATATTCAATGAGTTAATTTATCTTTTTCTATAATTATATCAATATTTATCAACGATCTAGGAAGGCAAAAGAGTTCTTTTTGTCGATTTTAGATTATAAAAATATTCAAGTTTGACTAGAACAACAATTGTGAACATGAGTAACACAGTTGGACCTAATGAAGTAATGTATTAAATAGAAAGAAAATTATTTTACTTTACTTTTGAATATTTTAGTCGGCAGTAGTTAACTCCAATAGAACGCCATTACGAAGATTGTATGTATATATTACGAATAAAAATGAATCATCAAAAAATCTATTATTTTAGATACGAACATTTTCGAAAGCGAAGATTAATTTGGATAATATTTTTCATCATTTGTATTGTTGTACTTACAGTTGTTGTAACAACTACTGTTTTATTGAACAAAACTGGAAGAGAAAAAACATCAACAATGGAGATAACAACATCACCGTCAACAACAACACCAACATCGACAACAGCAATAACAGCATCATTTGCAACAACGCCTACAGCAACAACAGCATCATTTGCAACAATACCTACAGCACCAACAGCATCAGCATCTTCATCCACAGCAATAACATCATCATTATCAACAACACCCACAGAAACAACAGCATTATCAACAAATGCAAGCGGTATGATTTTGTTAAAACTAATGGATTCGAGAATTTCGCCAATGCGACTTTCGTCAAAATATCTGGAGTTTTGCCAATTGACGAAAGTACAGTAGACTTTTGCCAGTTTCACTACGAATTAGATGTAGACTAAAAAGCTTTTCCTAGCTACATTGATGAGTGCAAGCTAACATATGCCCATACTAATAGCATTAATGTGACCTCTAACATATATCCTTTATTAATATTGTTTGAGATTGCGGATGTGGGTATAATGTAGAGAGACGACCAGTACCCACACCCTTAGAATTGATGAAGTATATAATTATGTACTTCTTGTACTTCACCAATTCTAAGGTTTTTAACCGATTACATATCATAGTATCAATACATATATAAGAGTACATGACTATATACTTCACCAAATATAAGGTTCGTAAGCCAGTGCACGATTTCATCTCAGTACATATATTCTTATCGATCAATTCTCAGAAAATCGTATAAATCTGAGTACATTTTTTACTCGTACTCACGCAGCGCTCCCATTGATATTGTACTTTTTGTAAAATAGATGAATCATCCGAGATAAAATTTAGGAACAGAGTTTATGTGAAGATGAATTTGTTTTGATAGAGAATCCAAGATTAATGTTCTGTGATCAATAACCATCTCATTTATGTTGTCTTGATTGATGAGATGATCGAATGAACTATCAAATTAGACATTAAATACTATCTTTATCTTTAGACAAATCTGCTATCTCATCTTTAGAATATTTGTATAGGTTTGTTTTTTCTATGATAATGTTAATTACATAACAAGATATGAATAGAGAATTGGTGAAAAAGTATTGTTTTGCTAATAAACTTAAGTAGAAAATTTGATAAAATATAAAGCATCACTGAGAATAGAGTTGAGAATAACTAGATAGTAGAATTTGTGTGAACTAATAAAGAGCTAACAATGATTTGATCGCGTGAATTATCGGAGACTTCGAGATCAATTATTCATTTTCTTATTAGTTCATGTTTTATATCATTTCCAGCAATGAATGATATACAGGGTTTTCATGCCTATATATTAATCATAGTAAAAAGAAATACCATGAATAATTTATTACATTAATTGTCATATTCAGAGAACTATAAAAGAGTTAATGAGAAGTTCATGCTTTTTATTCTATTGAATAACTTTCGATCAAAACTTGTAAAATTCATAGAGAATCGAGAAACACATCAGTCAGTGTAATTATCATAGTTATCAAATTGAGACAAACATCTTTTATATATTTGATTGAGATAAGAGAGGAAATAGAAAATATTGAAAATTGAAGATGTGACAATGATATGTGAAGAGGATTTGTGCAGTAGATTTGACTACTATTCTCAGTCTACATAAGTTTGAGGTAATAAAAAACAGACACTCGAAAGACTGTCGTTTTTTGAATAATGAAAATTACGGTGTACAAGTATAATAAATATTGATTATTCGATGATCTAACAATGTATCGTCTAAATATATAAAAAATGTAACTTCTAGAATGGTTTTCTACTAGAAATATGAGTGATGCACGAGCTGGTCACACAGCATCTGTATTATCAAATGGAAAAGTATTAGTTAATGGTGGTACACCGGATAATTCTAGAGTTTTAAACAGTGCTGAATTGTATGATCCATCAACAAGTACTTGGACAACTACTGGTAACATGACTGATGAACGACGATATCACACAGCATCTGTGTTATTCAATGGGAAAGTATTAGTCACTGGTGGAGCACATGGGTTTACTATTTTAAATAGTGCTGAAGTGTATGATCCATCAACAGGTACTTGGACAACTACTGGTAACATGACTAATGCACGAAGTTGGCACATAGCATCTATATTACCAAATGGAAAAGTATTAGTTACTGGTGGAGATAGTATTATTGGCTCTTTAAATAATGCTGAGCTGTATGATCCATCAACAGGTACTTGGACAACTACTGGTACCATGACTAATGAACGACAATTTCACACAGCATCCGTATTATCAGATGGAAAAGTATTAGTTACTGGTGGATTAAACAATAGTGCTGCCACTAATGCTATTAATAGTGCTGAATTGTATGATCCATCAACAAGTACTTGGACAACTACTAGTGACATGGCTAATGCACGATATAGGCACACAGCATCTGTATTATCAAATGGAAAAGTATTAGTTATTGGTGGTGAAGACAATGGGGGAAATATTTTAAATAATGCTGAATTGTATGATCCATCAACCGGTACTTGGACACCTATTAGTGACATGACTAATACACGAGCATACCACACAGCATCTGTATTATCAAATGGAAAAATATTAGTTACTGGTGGAGTTTATGATAATAGTGGTACTTTAAACAGTGCTGAGCTGTATGATGCATTAACAAGTACTTGGACAACTACTGGTAATATGACTAATGCACGATATATTCACACAGCGTCTGTATTATCAAATGGAAAAGTATTAATTACTGGTGGACGTTATAATGAAATTGGTAATTTAAATAGTGCAGAAATATATTAATAATTTGAAACAGATTAACTTTCAATTATTTTACTCTTTCTTGCAAGTAGCCCAAATTCCAAACAAAACTTTAGTTAGAACAGCTGTCATCTTATGACGTCCGCAAATTATTCCTACCATATTTTTAGTGAATTATCACACACTTTAATATTTCATCCCAAATAAAAAAAGATATCATTTTTTCTGCTCTTATAGATTAATTTACTAGTATCAACAAAAGTCACAACTGATACGATAACTTTAATTATCCTTTCAAATATGTTCTGTTAGTTTTAGAGTGTCGTTTTTCATAATGTTTAATTGTTTTGATAATATCCATCAGATTTAGAATGTATGATCATTGGTACATTTCACTAACGAAAAAACTTTGAGGTACGTTCATGAATGACATACATGAACATATCTGTAGATAACAACAACAACAGATAATCTGAAACAAAATATATAATCATATCAGATATACAAACTAAAGAGAATGAAGACGAAGATGTTGAATGTATTTTAGCAAAAGACAATCAGCAATAAGTCAATTTTTATTTACTTTTTCTTTGCGATTAGTAATTATCTCATTATCAGTCTTACATTTATCAACTCAAGCGACTCCAAAAAAATCAAACTGATTGATGTAGAATATCTCCAGAGAAGTATCGTTAGAATGTGCAGACAAAAATGTACACAGATCTACTTTTCCTTCGTCATTTTAATTTATTTTATAGAGCATGCAACTATTCAACTTTGTCTTTTAATCTTTGGTTACGGTCTTTTTTATTATGATGGATTTTTCGTTTTTCATTCCAAAAACAGTCTCGTATAAATTTTATTAGTATATACAAATATTCAGAACTGTTTCAGATTATGATAGTCTTCAAAACAAACATCACACTGATGGCGTATGTATCAGTACACTATTTCTCATATCTGTTTGAATGACTAGAAACGATACAAGATCTTCGTGCAGTATCTCCTCTGGAATTTCATGAAAATCATTATTCGTAGATATTGACATATTCAGCGAAAAGTTTTACGTAATAGATTTGAATAATAAGAATTGTTTTTGTGAGAATATATATCGACAGGTGTAAGGTGCTTCTTGTTTATGATCGATAATTTTATTCATACGAGAAAGCGCATTGAAAAAGAAAAGAAAGACAATACATCAGGATATCCTAGAAAGAAGTAGAATTTGAGAAGCAGACGCTTCAGAATACAAAGAAAAGTATATGAATACACATATAACTATACGGGATGACGATACAATGTTGTTACCAATATAAGAGAAAAAGGAAAGAGTCTTTTCGATGGACCCTAAATAATATTACAATAACGATAATATGTGTGCCCCGTAACCAAAGGGTTAAGAATAATTTAGTCCTTCATAAAAAAGTACAGTACATAGAATATAATTGTACAAAAAAGACATGTTGGATGGAAACCTGTTATAATGGCTTGATGCGATGCATCATAATAAAAATAACCTTAAACAGTATCACCATTTGGCATATTATAATATGTTGTTGCTGCTGACCATAAGATGACGTCATAATAGGTGGAATTTTTGCTGATGAAATATCTATTTTAGTATTATATTGTTTAGATGAAGAAGGGATACACATTGTTGTATTCACTTGTTTTTGTGTATTAGTTCTAGGAAATACTGCTGAAACACATTGAAAATCTATTAAAAATAATAATGAATTATTACAATTTAATCGATTTTCATCCATACAACGTATTTGTAACGATGAGTATAGTTCCTAGTTGTTTCATTTGTTTTAATAAAAAGCTTATCAGCGCAGCCCCGTTGGGGCTAAAAATGTGGAACTCACGTATGTTCGTATCAAAATATCTGACCACGTTTAACTGTTTTTTCTTTTTATGCTCAAATTTAATTAATTTATAGCTATTTTTAGCGATGTGTCGTTATTTTCATAAAAATTCGCGCAATTTATAGCTATTTTTCACCATTTTGGTTATTTTTATTAAATTTGCATTAATTTACGACTATTCTTAACTATTTTTGCTTATTTTTATTAAAATTCTATTAATTTATAGTTGTACCTGACCATTTTTCTTATATTTTATAAAGAATCCTGCAATTTATAGCCAATTTTAACGCTTTTTCATCATTTTTATTAAAATTTAACTATTTTATAGCTATTTCTACCTATTTATCGTTATTTTCATAAATATTCGCGCAATTTATAGCTATTTTTAACTGTTTTCGTTATTTTTATTAAATTTGAAGTAATTTATGGCAATTTTCAACTATTTTTGCTTATTTTTACTAAAATTCTACTAATTTAAAGCTATATTTGACTATTTTACTTATTTTTATAGAAAATCCCACAATTTATATCTATTTTTAACGCTTTTTCATTGCTTTTATTAAAATTTTAGCGATTTATAGCTATTTTTACTGATTTTTGCTTATTTTTATTGAATTTTTTTTGAGGGGGGGGGGGGGGGGGGGGGGGGGGGGCTTGAAAGCCTGAACTTAAAACTTACACTCACGATTTTCTTCGAAAATTTACGTGAGCTCCACAAAACACAAAGAATTGTAATACATATTAGAATTAATTTCATTTTTATGATGTATGCTGAATTTTTTGCTGTAAAAGAATCTTCGTATATCATTATAATAAGCATAGCAAAGTAAAATAGAATTTTAATATCACCATCGTTCTTATCTTCATTTATTTATGTCAACACATTACATAACATAATCATAGATATTTATAAAGAATGAAGTTTCATATACGATGGAAATATATTTCTAAAATATTAATACGCGTATGGAACGCTTTTTTCATTCCAGTTACATTTGCTATTAACTCTGCAATCATGGCAAATATACTAATTAACATTCAATCAAGAAATTTATTGAAATTTTTACTGTAAATAGAGACAATTTAGATCTCCTATCGGTATAAATATTATCGATCTTCCTTTTACGTGAAGTAAAGTTATTCGAAAAAATATTGACCGTTACAGAATTTCATCCTTTTCTCAAGAATGTCAGCTTCGATTCTCATAAAACCGTTTCATTTTTATATATTGATGAAATTCTGTAACATATTATTTCTGGAACTGATATAAAAATAACAAATCAACCACTGCTCAAGTTGAGTCTATTTGATAGAGCTCCGTGAGTTCTATTTAGAAATAGCAACATGCGCGAATGCAACATACTATAAGCAAGTTTCATAAAAACTGAAGATGGCTTAGAATAGTATTATTTCCTTACGTAAACACCTAACACTTGTGCAACAGCCATGTGTTGAAAGAGAACATTATATTCTATCGATTGACATCTAATAAGTGAATCTTCTCTCTACTTATTATGATTTTATCCCAATGTTCCCCATTGCTATCAGTTTACTCTTATTTTTGGATTGGTTGCTTCTAGATAGACTGGACGTGTGTATGTACAGTCAAGGCTGCTAAATAATATTAAAGTCAAAGTAGAATAGTTTCATACTATGCAAAAAAAATTAAAATAACGAAGAAAAAGTTGATTCGTGTATAGTTTTGCCCTGATGTTTCAAGCGAACTTCTCAATAGATATACTACACTAATCAACTTCCTTTTTTTCGAGTCGCTTGAATTGACAAGTTTAAAACTAACAATGAGATAATTACTAATCACAAAGAAATATTAAATAGAAATTGTCTTATTATTGATTCTATTCTGTTAAAATACATATCCATATAAAAATAAGGTAAGTTGAATGTAATTATCTTGTTTACCTCATTAGTTCGTATATTAGATATGATTATAGATTGTTTTTTAGATTATCTGTTGTTGTTATTCACAAATACATTCATCTATGCCATTCATGAACTTACTTCGAAGTCGTTTTCTAATCAAAATGTTGCAACATACATTCTAAATCCAATGAATACTATCAAAACAATTAAATACTATGAAAAAGTATATTATAAAATTAACGGAGCATTTGAAATAATAATTAAAATTATCGTATTAATTGTAAGTTTTGTTAATCATAATAAACTAATATATAAGAGTAGAAAAACAAAGATATTTATTTTTATTTTGAATCGAATATTAAAGTGTGTGATAATCCAGTAAAAATATGAAAGGAAACAGTTCGCGGACGTTATAAAATGAGAATTCTTCTAACTAAAGTATTGTTTGGAATTTGGACGACCTGCAAGGAAAAGAATAAAATAATTGAAAGGTAATTTGCGTGAAATAATTAATATAATTCTGCAGTATTTAAAGCGCCAACATTATAAGTTCCACCAGTAACTAATACTAGTCCATTTGATAATACTGATGCTGTGTGCCAATATCGTCCAATAGTCATGTTTTCAGTAGTCGTCCAAGTACCTGTTGATAGATCATACAATTCAGCACCGTTGAAAGTAATAGTGAAATTCCATCCACCAGTTACTAATACCTTTCCATTCAATAATACAGATGCTGTGTGATAATATCGTGCATTAGTCATGTTACTAGTAGTTGCCCAAATACCTGTTGATGGATCATACAACTCAGCACTATTTAAAGCACTGATACCATCGGTTGTACCACCAGTAGCTAATACTTTTCCATTTGATAATACACATGCTGTGTGAGAACGTCGTGTATTAGTCATGTTACTAGTAGTTGTCCAAGTACCTGTTGATGGATTATACAACTCAGCACTATTTAAAGTACCACCAAAACCATTACCACCAGTAACTAATACTTTTCCATTTGATAATACAGATGCTGTGTGAGTAGATCGTGCATTAATCATATTACCAGTAGAAAACCATCCTAGAAGTTATATTTTTATATATTGAGACTGTACAACATTAAATAATCAAACGATCAACATTCATTATTCTTCTACAGTATTTTTCATTATCTTAAAAACAATATTCTTTGATATTTCTATTTTATGTTACCTCAAACATATGTAGATCGAGAATAGTAGTTAAATGTTTTGCACAAAATCTCTTCGCATATCATTATCACATCTTCAGTTTTCTATATTTTCTATTTCCTCTGACATCTCAATGAAATATATAAAAGATGCTGGTCTCAAATTAATCATTGTGCTAATTACACTGACTGATGTGTCTTTCGATTCTCGAGGAAGTTTACAAGCTGTGCTTGAAAGATATCCAATAGAAGAAAAAAACATGAACCTCCCATCAACTCTTTCATAGTTCTCTGGATATCACAATCAAAATAATTCATTATTTTGAACATTTTCTGTTCAATAATCTATACATAGGTATGCAAACGACTATGTAGGATTCATCACTGGAACTGATATAAAACATGAACTAATGAGAAAATGAGTGATTAATGTCGAAACCTCTAATAATTCACGACCAAAGCATTGTTAGTTCTCCATTAATTCACACAAATTCACCCATTCAATTTCTTTTGACTCTATACTCACGAGAGAACATCCTTAACTGAAGGATCCCCTTAGACTTCGGATCCTGTACATAAGTTAGATCCCAGTGAAGTATGAAAAACCCCAAAAGGATAAGTGCCCATCGGCCTTCTGCCCAGAGTTATAGGCAATATACTGAAATTTTATCCTATGGCATGATGTATATAAATAAATCGAATGGCAGATAGGTGTGGGTGCGGGTGGATGAGGATGCGTGGATATAGTTGAAGTTAAGAGAGAGAGCTATTTACACCCTCAGCTACACTGTGATTCAAATAAATTATTTGTTGATTACTTACTAACGGCTACACTAGTTTGACTAGTTGTAGTGTCGAAATGAACTGAAAACCAAAAAGATAAAAAGCTATGAGCTAGAGTCATTAGCAACGATATTGACAGGTATCTAAATGGGCCGCCCGGCCCGGTCCAACATGGACTGGGCCACGTTAGAGAGCCCAACCCATCAGGTCGTGCGGGCCTTTTGAAATCAGCCCAATGAATCGGGCGGGCTGCGCTGGGCTTTAGTCAGGTCGCCGAACTCCATATCGATATTAAGCTATCATTATCTACTATATTTGTCTTTAAATTTTTTTGTTACTTGAGTATCTCATTTAATAAAATCAATCATTAGAATTTGATGGTTCACATAATGTCATACAATTAATGTAACTCTTTCCAGTCGCAACATAACAGAATTTCTTATGAGCTACTTTATATATATCGTTAAAAGTTTTTCTAGGCACTGTCTGATCGCGCCAGGTGGGCTTACAATATTCAAAGCCCGATATAGCCCGAGTCGAATCAGCAAAACGTGGGCCGATTTCGAAGCCTAGATATTGCATATTTTACCTCTTGATGTTGATGTTGTTGTCGATATTTTAGTGGTAGTTGTAGGCTTTTGAGTAGTTATTGTTGTCAATTTTTTAGTGGTAGTGGTACTCTTTTGAGTTGTTGTTGCAACTGGATCAAAAAAAAATAATAAGTTAGCCACAAAATAAACATTTTAGAGAGAAAATATAATGAAATCACGCTTACTCTTTGTTGTAGATTTCGTTGTGCTAGTTGTATGTACTATTAAAACATAGAAATAATTTATTCTAGATCAACTAATTTCTTGTGCTCTAATCGTTTTCAAATTTGCAAGACAAAATGCCTTACCTGTAGTTGTTGTTCGTAATGTTGTAGCTGCTTTCAGAAAAAAAAACAAATATAATTAAAATAGTTGTTAGAAATCGTTTTTACTTGTAAGTCTTTGATGGACAAATTTGTTTGTTTGCCAGTGGTAATGGGTAGCATACTGGTTGACCACATCGTGTACTATTCACACAGATTGTACTTTCGATTGAGCAACTAACATTATCCATATTACATCGTACAAAACTTTCACAGGAGAGAGTAGTTAAAGCACATATTCCTATATTCGAATTGGATGTTAATGAAAAACAATCGCAGTTAAGATTCGATGAACATGATATTCGTTGAGAATTACATGCAGTAAAATTACATGTTGCTATTGTTGTTGAGTTAACTAAGAAATAAAGAATAAGATTATAGGAAAAAATAACAGTCATTATTAGTAATTACTTAGCTGTTGTTGTTCTGATGTGTTTCTATCATTGAAGAAGATAAAAAAAAAGTATACACTATGTAGAACTTGATAATTAATACTTACACTAAAAGTAGCACATAGAATAAAAATATAACCGTTAACCTCAACATTTTCGCCATTGTGAGATATAATAGTTATGAATTATTAAGTCAAGAATATTCTTTTTGTATTACTTTTCGTTACGTTTGTTATATAAGCGTTATGAAATAAACGAACGAGAGGCGACCGTTTTTATAGTTACAAATTAAAACAATTCTTTTTTTGTTTCTCTAGAAAAATCATAAAATGCACTTTCTTTTAGTATACACAGTCATCGACTGAAAATGCAAGTGTGTTTGTGAAGAGAAAAAAATCATTTAAAAATCATAACTTTGCTTAATTATATATTCAATGGATGAAAAAAGAAAAAAAAGGAGAAGAAACAAACCATTGCTACTTCGTTTCTAATGAAACAAAAACATTGATTCTGGCAGTTACTCTTAATAAAAAGCGTTGGGTAAAAAGAAACCTGTAAAATTCGAAATTGCGACGCAACTGCGATAAAAAAATCGAAATTGCGCACAATTGTGGGAAAGTGATCGTAGCTGCGCCGCTTTTGAGACGAAATAATCGCATTGTCGTGTAATCATATCTCGACATCATCCGCGGGTGTGGGTGTGGGTGTGGGTATAGCTATCATATTATATCACATTTACACTCATACCTACACTTACCCACACCCACATCTACACTCACCCACACCCACACCTACACCTACACTCACCCACACCTTCACTCTCACCCACATTCAGCTTTTCTTAATAAATCTATTCGACGAAAAATCGATTTGATGAAGTTCATTTTCGGCGAATTTCTGGTGGCGAAGGTAAACTGAATGATTTCATCATTTCCACTCATACCATATCAATAAATAAATAGTCCATGTCACTTCTTTTTT